TATGAAGTTATAGCATTTCATTTCACTAGTAAGAAATTTGAAATTCAGAGATATGAAGTAACTTATCCAAAAGGATAGCTATAAGAGGGCAGCACCACAATTCAAAGAAGTTTGAAAGAAAAGCTTCTAAATTCCACTAGACGACATTAATCCTTCATCCACTGTCCCAGCTGTTCCGTGTCTCCTGTACATACTATATTTTAATACTGAATGGTGTCTACTTGTGAGCATGAAATTCTGTTTTACTGATATAGGTTTCAATTTCACATTTGAATCATAGGCATTTTTCATTATTAGAATAAACTCCTTTGGCCAATACAATTAGGATGGGTACTGGTAGTTTAACATAATCAAAGCAAAGAATTTAAAAAACATATATACTTCAAACATCTATTTTAATGTACTGTATAAATGGATTGCCATTCACCAATATTTGATGCACAGCCCCAGTGAGGAGCATTTCTTATGATTCTTTTCATATGAATCACCCTCTTTTTTCCCCGAAGCGACCGTGAGATGTTAAGGACATTTGCAATCAAAATACAGAAACCTTACCCTAATTCGACAGCCAACTTTTTAGAAACAACTCATCCTGAATCATTAAAAAAAAAATAAAAATCTTTTATAGACATTTTTATGCTCATATTTTATTGGTTTCATAATACTTACTGGCAGAAATTCAGTAAATAGTGCAATGGATACAAACAGGTTTGTAAAACCAGTACAACTAACCAGTGATGACCATGTAACTCAAGTGCTAAGTGCCAAAGCTGAGCAGACTGGAGAGCTGCTATACCTGTACTAACTTAGCAAATCACCCACAACAGCTTGTCAGTTAACCCAAGGTCCTTTGAGGATGCTTCTACTATGCATCCCACTGCTCGTGACTTACAATATTTACATCAACCTGTTATTTTGAAGTAAAAGTTTTATTATGCTGGGATTTGGCTAAGGTTATGATAAATCTCAATTTATCTTGGTGAATGCCGACATGTAAACTTACTCTTTCCTTTCAGAAACAGAGGTCTTAACATATGTACATGAGACTTTAAAAATATGTATTCTATCTACTAATTATTTTGTAGCCTTTTCTTATTGACTATGCAGCACAGCTCTAATTGGGTTCACAGCAAAATATGTTTTATTGCTACTGTAAATGGGTTTATTTTCAGTGGTTTTTAAACTTTAGTATGCATAAGAACCACCTGAAGAGCTTCTGGGACTACAGAACACATTTGGCTTCTACCAGTCCCCATGGGCACTGGGAATGTTCCATCAGCAGGAACTTGAGCTTTGAATAAGCATGCCAGGTGAGTCAGAGGCAGAAGTCTAGTTACCTGGCACTATCACAAAATTCTAATTAATAGACTTCATCAACAGACTTACAATCTTCCAGGCAAAACATTTAAAAATTTTGCCTCTTACTCTTCTTTTGTGTTATGTTACACTATAGAAGACTTACAATAATACCAATATAATAAATTGAAACTTAACCCTGATGGGGTATGATGTATTATTTTTTGGTGAAGTGACTGTATTTGTTAGTTTACAGATTTAACATTTATATTAATGAAGAGTGTGTTTAATTTTATCAGGAATAGAGTTTAAGATATTTACATCTGAGTGAACAGGGTATGGAACTATTTATTTCATTTTTGAAATGTTTGGAAATTATCTTTTCTTGAAGGTTTAGAAAACTGTACCTGTGAATAAATCCAAATGATTCTGGAGCTTTATGGGATCCTTTTGTGAAAACACCTTTTCCCTGATTACTTGGGCTGCTAAGATTTTTTATTGCACAGTTCAGCGTCTCTTATTTTTGTAATTGATAACCCATTTCACTGAACCCTGTATATCTTTCAAAATATCAAATCTTTTATTTCTTCTTTTGGTTCCTAATTCCATGGTTGTTAAGAATAACAGTAATACCTTGGTTTGTGAGTATAATTCGTTCCAGAAACACTCTATTCGTATTGCAAGACACCGCTCGTTTACAAGTTAAAATGTATTAGAAATGTTTGCTCATCTTGTGGAACACTAGCAAACCAATTTACTGGCAATCCAAGGTTTTACTGTATATTTACCTCACTTTATTTTTTTCTTCTCTTGTAAAGAATCAACTATTAAAAATTTTTGTATCAAAACCATCAGCTTTATGCTTTTAAGTTTTATTCCTTAGTTCTTCTGCCCCCCCCAAAAATCTTAGGTTGAATCTTGCAGTAAAAAAGCAGAAATTATAAAAGCTAATTAGGTATATGACTTATAGAAGATTTAATGTACCACCATTAGTCATATCAATAAAGTCACAGACAAGGTCATATAAAGTTATAAAACCATCCCTGCATTATAGCTATTTTAACAAAATTAGATTATGTATTTTAATTCCTGGATAAATTGTCACAGTGAGTTGCAGATCACAAAAATGAAGTGTAATTATAGTATATGGAGTTAAATATATTGATGGGGAAATGCAGATTCTTTTGCTCTTTCATGAAAATGTAATTCTTGAGTTCTTGCTATCAGCAAAAGGTGACTTTCTAGAATTTTCCCTACAGCATCAATCTGCTTAGAAACATCATTAAATTCACAACAAATTAAGTAATATATCTGTCATTTTGCACTTCCCTGAACATGTTGCAGAAATAATTTATAAATACTTTCTCTTCAGATTTAATTGGCAGATGGTCAAATTTCTGTCTTCTATTAACATACATTAGATTTATGGAAATGAAATAAGCAAACTGAGCTATTACTGAGCATCGGCCACAGAAAAGGCCTAACATCAGGTGCTGTGAGGTTAAAACAATGAGTAAGACACGGTCCCTAGTCTAAAGATTAAATAACACACAATGGAATGAGTAAGGACTGAGGATACATGTTAGGGAGGATCACCCTAAGACTGGGAGAAATAGGGGACAGCTTATGGAGACAAATGACTTTTAAGTGGGGCTTTTGAGAGAGCAGTATTTGAATGGGTAGAGAAGTAGAGGGGGAAAAATGTTTGAAAAGTCATAAATTAGGGTGTATATACATGAAAACACAGTTTATGAAACTACAACTTGCTCTGAAGTTGGGAAAAAGGGCAAACAGGGCTCTGGTGGGAAAACAACTGGCACTGGAGCTGCAAAGACAGCTCTTCAGAGCTTGCTGTTTAGGGGGAAAGAGAATAAAATGATTTTTTTAAAAAAGATTTTACTGGGGAATTGTGGGAGAGGAACAGCGCTGGTGAATTGGGGAAGGGGAACAGACAAGTTGCTGTCCTTTTTTTTGTTCTTCAGTCTAGTTGTGGAGGACGTGGCTTCACTGGCCCATGTTGGTATTGTGACCACTGTGCTCTTCCTGGGTGAGGCAGTCGCTCGCTGGGCATTGGATGGCCGCTCACGGCGGCTCACGAAAGCTCACGCCTGCTGCCATCCAGCCCCACTGTAGCCTATGCGGTCGCCGGCAACTCACAGCAGCACAGCTCAAGGTCGAGCTGTTGTTCACCATCTTAGCTGTAGAGGACACAGCATCACTGGACCTCATGTGGGATCCGAACTGGGTCCCTGCTGCTCAGAGCTGGCGCTCCCAAGCCAACTCCTAACCAACATACCACTTGGCCAGCCCAAGATGATGATTTTTAAAAAGCATATAGAGGGCTGGCCGAGTGGCGCGATGGTTAAGAACTCGCTTGGGATGCCAGAGGGCCCCGGTTCGGATCCCACATATGAGGGCCAGTGACACTGCCCTCCACAGCTAAGATGCTGAACAACGGCTCAACCTGGAGCTGGGTTGCCATGGGTCGCCGGCGACGGTGTAGGCTGCAGCCCTTGCTGCAGTGGGTTGCCATGGGCTACCGTGTGTAGCCAGCAGCCAGCGTGAGCGGCCAGCAGCCGCAGTGAGCGGCCGTCCAGAAGCCTGCGACTGATCTGCCTCACCAGGGAAGAGGGCAATGACGGTGCCAACTTGGGCAGTGAAGCAACATCCTCCACAACTAGATTGAAGAACAAAAATGACAGCAACTTGTCTGTTCCCCTTCCCCCAATTCCCTAGCACTGTTCCCATCCCCCCAATTCCCCAATAAAAATCTTAAAAAAAAAAAAAAGCATATAGAGAGGTATATACACAGGGTGATAGGAGGAGACATACGAGGTCTAACAATTAAGTTCAAGAACTTGTTGCAGCAACGTTGCTAATGTTGTTATCAGAGGGATTATTCTTTATGAATTTGTACCAACTGGACAGTTAACCAAGTTTATTATTTGGAAGTGCTGAAAAGGCTGCATGAAAACGTTAGACAACCTGAACTTTTCACCAATTCATGGCTTTTGTATCATGACAATGTACCAGCTCACATGGCACTGTCTGTGAGGGAGTTTTTAGTCAGTCAACAAATAACTATTGGAACCACCCCCCCTACTCACCTGATCTGGCCCCCAATGAGTTCTTTCTTTACCCGAAGATAAAGGAAATATTGAAAGGAAGACATTTTGATGACATGAGGACATCAAGGGTAATACGACGACAGCTGTGATGGCCATTCCAGAAAAAGTTCCAAAATTGCTTTGAAGGCTGGACTAGGCGCTGGCGTCGGTGCATAGCTTCTCAAGGGGGAGTACTTCAAAGGTGACCATAGTGATATTCAGCAATGAGGTATGTAGCACTTTTTCTAGGATGAATTCACGAACTTAATTGTCTGACCTCATACTTAGGGCCTCAGGGAACATTTTATGAGGACTGTTATGGAAGAAGGAAAGCTAGTACCAGATTGTGAAAAGCCACTGTGAGTACTGGGTGGGGGGTGGGGGCCTTGAGGACTGCTTGGGTAAGAATTAAATTATGTGGCCCGCAGTGATGGTGAATGGATGGCATGAGGTCCCATTTTCATTCTCTAGATGAGAGAGGATGATGGTCACACCACTTTCAGAACAGCGGAATGTATTCAAAACCTCTACTAAATAACCCTTAAATGATGCAGCTTTACACCTACGATAGAGGAGAGGAATCATCCCTTTGCGTACCTTCTGGGCAATCATGTTGCAGATCTCGGGCAGGAAGTCCTCGCTGAGGAGCTTATAGAGCTGTCGTTCTCGAACGGAGGTCCTCTCCCGAAAACTCTCGGTGACCTGTCTCCATTCTTCTTCCGTTTGGCACAGGAGCCACCAAGTGCCTTGGCCTGGCCCTTGGGACGCTGGAAAAGAAAGGGATAGGTTCATTAAATAGATCACATGAGGATCTTTTTTCGTATTTATTCTCAATTTCATTTTTACCCTGGGTCATGAGCAAAACCAGGGATCAGAATAAAAAACCGATTACTTTCTAACTTTAAGATTGATAATGTTATACTTCTGATTTCCCTGTTACTGTCACTGTTTACAGCTAAAAGTGAACACTCACTAAAGGCGATACAAATATAACTATTGTGATCTTCAGAAGAAAGACGTGAACATTCCAGAAATGCTTAAATGCATTTACTTTTCTATGCAAACAGTTTTGGACTTCTGAAGTCTTCCTCATTTCACTGACACTGAGATATTGTGAGTTGATCTGCACCCCTAAATTATGCCATTTGGATTACAGAATTGAAATCTAGACAGGAAACCAATGTAGTAAAGTATTTTATGTAGTGTTTTACATTAAAAAGGCAGCTCTTTGAGAAGTCACTCATTAATACAAGTGTTTGGGCGTCTATTACACTGTGACCAGGTAACAGGGCACAAGTGAAAAGACCTACTCCTGATCTCATCCGGTCAGAAGGAGAGATGGGCCCAAGATAAAATGCAAGGAAGAGAGAACTGAAGAAGGCCAAGGTGGATGGTTAGGGGGCCGCTGCAATAATCTTAACTGCTCTGTACAACTCTGCAAAACGACCGAGTCAAGCTCATAATATATAAATCGCATTTACTTATTCTTTCTAAACACTCCAGTAGAGGTCATTACCATTTCTTGTCTGTAGCTCAGATGCCAAGGAGTTTTCTTCCTGCTTTTCACTGAAACACATGAAAAGGAAGTAACAATTAAAAGACATGTGCAAACTTGCTCTGGGTTTCCCCCATCAGGCAGATACAGGAGTGTGTGTGTATCGAGAAGGCAAGGTTAGAAGGAATAACTCTACTGAGAAAACGCACTCTAACTAGGATATAGGTTTTTGGTATACAGGAGAAAACTGATATATAGTAACAATCAACCAGGAGAAAATATTAACTTTTTAAAACATTTTTTTGAAGTTGGAGTTAAGTGTTAACAGTTAAATGCCAAGAAAAAACAGGACTGTAGCCATCCCTACATCCTCCTCCCTAATTCATGGCAAAACTGAAGATAAAGCCTATTTAATGTAAGCTCATAGAAGGTTAGCAGCATAGATTAAGAACAGGCTTGCCACTTGCCACAGGACCTCAGGAAAGTTAACGTTCCTGTAAAATGGAGCTATGAATGATGCTGGGGAAATTATAAAATAAAAAAGTGCTCAGCACAAGTGTTAAGGATCATGTCATTTGTATTCCGGAATCATCCTAGACATTCTCTGTGGATTTTCTGCTTTGTTTTCAATTATCTAAAGCAGTACTGTTTCACAGAACTTTCTGTGAGAACAAACGTGCTATAGCGTTGCTGTCCAGCAGGGCAGCCATGAGCCATACGTGGCTACTGAGCACTTGAAATGTGTGGCTGGTGCGATGCAGGAACAGAATTTTCCATTTTATTTCATTTAAAAATATTTAAAAACTATATTGAATACAAGGTCTAAAGAATAAAATCACCAGTAGAGGGTAGCACAAGTTCATGTGTGCTTGTTAAAATGATTCTATAGTCCCAATACTAAGGTACTTTAATTTCACTTACAGGAAAATGGCGGTAGGTACAAAACAGCTTTTTGAATATATAAGGAGGTATAGACTGCTAATGAAATCTAGAAACAGATGTCATGTATACAGAACATGATTATAGGACATTTCTCACAAGTGTTGGCAGAAGGAAAGCTGCAATCGAGTAAAATTTCTGGAAAGTTAAGTGGAATGCTGATTTTTTTTTTTTTAAGATTTTATTGAGGATTGGGGAAGGGAGACATGGTTGGGGAACTGGGGGAGGGGATCAGCCAAGTTGTCCTTCAATCTTAGCTGTGGACCACGCAGCAAGCTCAGCTCCAAGTCCTGTTGTGCCGCTCAGCTCAAGGTGCCGAATTTGTCTTAATTGCGGGTGGGCATAGCCACCATCTTGGATAGGCAACCTTGTTGTTAGGAGCACGTGCTCTCAACAGCTGAGCCATCCTGCCACCTGTTGGCAGCTCAGCAGCAGCTCAGCTTGGGCGCAGCTCACTGGCCCATGTGGGAATAGAACCAGTGACCCTGTTGCTCAGAGCTCGCACTCTTGAGCAAGCTCTTAACCAACTGAGCCACTCGGCCGGCCCCCGGAATGCTGATTCTTAAGTGCAAAAAAAAAAAAAAAAATCAAATTCTGATTGATTTATTCATAATCTGATTCCTAGAAATACTGCTTTGTGGTTTATAAGCAACAGTGAAATCTGGCTTACTTCAATCATTTATATTATTTAGTAGTTCTAAAATTTAGAGGCAAGAAGTGGTATGGCCTCTGTTAAGAGTATTTTTAAGAGTATGACCCGACTTTCATACGTGTATGAAATGATATGATCCTTATTATCAGATATCCTTATGATAAAGATATGATCCTTATCAACAGATATGATCCTTAGGTAAAAACAGATTTATACAGTACGGGAAAGATTCTGAAAATGTTTATATTGAGATTCACATGATGGAATTTCCTAAAAGATAATGACATAAAAAATAAAATTTCCCAAATGTAACAGAATCTTTTTCTTTGCTAAAATTAAATATAAATGACTTAATTAGCAACACTCAATTACAGAATTAACATGCTACACATTGTTATGAAACGTGTGGCATGACAAATTTTAAGTTAACACATGCTAAGTGAGCACATGCATGGTTTTCAATCTGTTGCACTGTCACATTCATTGTCTTGTCCAATTTAATCATCATTACCAGTAGTAACTCCACTATCCAACAACACAGCAGGTACCTTGCCAGACGCCATGCAGCTAGGGCGTCCTGTTTCTCTAGTGCACACTCGGTCATTTCATGAGGATTCTGATCCAGGTTTCCATCACCTAAGTCCCAAGTCCTTCCCAAGGCACGAGGGAAAATTAAGGATGCAGGCGTTAAGTGCAATTAAGGTCCCCTCTTCCAGCAAGAGAGTCTATGACTGTCACAAACTACCAAAATTTTCTTACCTTACTATAATCTCCTCCTGTAGCTTCTTCCGCTTGGGGGGTCTTCCTCTTCTTTTTCCTGTTTTCCCAGGAACACTTGAGACATTTTTTTGTCCTTCACTTTCCCTAAGAAATAGTATATTAAATAGAAATGTTCTGCCATAGGATTGATATACAATAAGTATAGTTCTTCTAGCCACAAGGTTACTAAAAAGGACTAAATGCAGTAGTCACGGGAAGAGCAGGGTGACATCCTGTCTTCCATTACATAAGTCCCCGACTTACGAACGAGTTCCGTTCCGGGAGAACGTTCATAAGTTGGATTCGTTCGGTAAGTCCGACAAAGTGAGTCTTATACACCTTTGACACAAATATACAATGTAAAGCCAATGGTTGAACAATTCATGTTATAAGAACGAGTGACATCTACCATCTTTTTGCCTCGGTCCAATCTCTCAATTATTTTCGCTTTTGTTTCCATGGTTATTGCTTTGCGCTTCCTAGCAGTCCCCTCCACATGACCAATGCTTTTCCTCTTGCTTCTGGACATCCTGGGCTTTGACTGAGTACTGTACTACTGTACACTATCGCACTGTACAATAAGCACAGCAGCAGCACAACTGTAACAATGTCTGGCAGACACGTGAGCTACCATATTTCCCCATGTATAAGATGCACCCCTTTTTGGAAAATTTGGGGTCTAAAAACTGGGTATGTCTTATACAGTGGTTGTAGATTTTTTTACTTGCATTTCCCACTGAGGACGAGGCAATATATGAAGTCAGTGATTCGTCATCAGACACAGATGAGGACAAGCTAATGGTTGGGAGTTTTGACAGTGATGAGGAGTTGTATGAATTTCATGATGAATAAAACTTGAGTTCAATAACTTTACGCAATACATTTTTTTTTCTTCAAATTTTGGGCCCCCAAATTAAGGTGCGTCTTATACACAGGAGCGTCTTATACACGGGGAAATACGGTACTTCCATGATTTGTTCACATCTACGAAAGTTCATAATGCGAGGTCTGTTCGTATCTGTGAAAGTTCGCAACTTGAATGTTCGTAACTTGAGGACTTACTGTATTGGAATGTGGAATCAAGAAAAACTGACATTTGATAAAATTTAAGCCTGCGTAAAACCTAACACTTTCCTAAGAGTGAGCACTGCTCCCAGTAATAAAAAAATCGACATAGAACAAGACAGCCTTGTTCCGGGATGCTTGAAAAGGAGGGCTCCTCCTCACTTAGGGAACATGTGATGAGGCTTGTGTTTCTGGTCTTCGTTAAGGTCCTTCTGGTTCTGTACTGATGGAGCAGACCAACTCTAGGAGAAAATAGAGGAGTTCTAAAGAATTGAATATGAAAGAGGGAAAGGGCGGCAGTGAAATGACTGTACCGCTAAGGACCTACTGTGCAGAGCAGTCTATAGAAAGGCGAGTGGGGCTCCTCAGAGGAAAACCTCACAGCAAAACAGGAGCCTTCACCACTCTGCTAGCAGAGGCCACAGTTCAATTCCTTTTCACTTTTGTACAGAAGAACTCCTTGCTATCTGTCTCTTCATAGGTATGCTGTTATAGTGAAATTCTTCATGAGTAAAAAACATTTGTGCTGAGGAATTCTATAGATTTGTTTTAATGACATGTTTGTATAGTAGCTGTCATAGCCCTGATCTCAAAGAACGTACCTGCCCAAAGAGAGTTCTCTGCTGGATTTTCCTTGTACTGGGTCCTCCTTGTACATTCGAGTTCCATAGAAATACCAATACAGTGCCCCGGAATTGTCTTCACCTAACGGCTCTACGCGAAGACTGTCTGCATCCAGACCCTGGGTCCAAGAACAAGGAAAAGAGGTTTGGGGAAATGGGGAACAAAACAAAAGGGGAAAATTAACATGAGGATTCGAAATTTATACTCAGTATACCTCATATTTAAAAGTGCCCAAGTAGCACATGTAATTTTCAAACAGGGCATATGAAACACACAGAATGAGAAGTGGTACCTTCTTTGAAGAACGGGATACAGAAATATTTCAAATGTCTCCCAACCCCATCATTGTCCCCATTTCACCAAGAAAAGAGAACCCAAAAGGAACTTTTATGAACATACTATATATTTGGTTTTGACTTCTGGTTATTTTCTGTGTGCATCCATAAAAATAAAGAATGAAATCAAAGTAGAATCTGCCGTTAAGAAAGCTTTGTTGCACGTGATCCTCTAGTGTAGCTCCCTCATATCCTTCAGAACCCTCTTATTCCGGCTGAGATTCAGCAGTACAGCTCCCATCTGCCCCAGGGTCTGACCTGTACTGGCCTTCCCGCTGCTGTTAGAGCCCTTGAGTTCTCAGCAGACTGTGCACAATGATTTTTATACTGTGTCCATGAGTGAAGCTGAGCTGAGAATTCATCAACACATTTCATCATTTTGGACTGCAGGATTAGAAACTGACCTCTCTAGGAGTGAAAAGCAATAATAGCCCGACCCTCCCTCTCAGATAAGACTTTTAAAATAGGTAACAATAGAATAAGGGGAGGGAACAGGTAACTACACCTTCCTTCTCCACCATCTTTTTGGTAATGTGTATGTGTGGACAGCAGGGATGAACTTCACTTGCATATATGGGTTAAAGTCCTTGCAGTTTTCAATAATCATTTCAATTATGCTAAATAAAATTTCAGAGAAACAAATTCAGTTGCACTATGGCTGATGATAGAGAGAAAACGAGGTGACTCTGATTGTTCTCCTGTATCAGCTGGAACTTGGCACATGTAAAAAAGATAAAACCAAACTAGAAATGAAACCAGAATAACCAGTCGTATAAATGGATGGCTCAGACTCCCTGAGCTACAGAGGTCATCTTTTATATACATTGTTATCAACCAAGCGTCCCATGACTAGCAACATAAGCCAAACGCTGGCCTCTCAGCATCTTCACACAGTACATCCGGGGTTGTTGGCCTAATTCGCTCTAAGGAAAGGGCCTGCCAGGTAGGCACCTTGAGAAGATCGAAGACATCATCTGCATCAAGCCGATAATCACAAAGGCGGTGCAGGATTTCCACCCGGGTACGAAGAGGCAGGTCCTGGAAACTGGCTTCTCTCAGAGGGTTAGGTTTCCCTTCTTCCAGCTCCCAGCGGTAGTTTATGATGTCCTCTAGGTAGCTGTGGAATGTCTGAGGCCTAACCAAATGGCCCCAAACACAAAAATACATTAATATAAAATACAGAGGATGGGTGGGGTGGGGGAGAGAGAGCTGATGGTTTGATGTTGACAAGTCTTTAACAAAAACCACAAAATGAAAAAAAAACAATATTGGGAAAGATCTAAAAGCCCCTCACTAAAGCTTCACGTTGTAATACTATCTCCTTGGACTTTATATTGTCAAACCTCAAAGAGGATAAATATGTTAAAAGAGATCCTCACAGAATAGACTGTTTTACTTTAAAACAGAAAAAGCACATTCTGGGGAAATAAGGAAAAGTTTTACTAATCAATGGTATAGATTATGAGACCGAGGCAATAGTTTTACCTTTGCTCATGCAATTACACAGTTCGGATGGATAGTCACTTCAAAATTAGGTCCACAACTTAGATGGCAAACATAGAAGAGAATCAATGTCTAACTAGCCTAATTAATTTACATTTCAGGATAAGATGCAAAGGTGGAAAAAATTTTCCACAACACAAGAGTTCACTCCAATGTGCAACTATAATTTTATATTCTGTTATGCATAAACTTTAGGGCATATTACAAAATACTATATTCTAAATTTTAAGACAGTTTTTCTATAGGAAACTTTTATGACAGTTTGATGGCAACTTTAATTTTTTTTGGGGGGGGAGTTTGGCAATTCTACACTACATTTTGATTAAATACTTAAATGTGCCTTGTATATAATAAAGAGTTTGTTAGATGGTTATTCTGTTTCTCAATTATTAAACAATCTGGATAAATTTCACCTGTTTGATTTAAAAAATTTTTTTCTCCCTAAGCAAAGAGATCTACAGGAGTTATATGTCAATATAATTTTTTTTTTTAAAGATTTTATTGGGGAATTGGGGAAGGGGAACAGACATGTTGCTGTCCTTTTGTTCTTCAGTCTAGTTGTGGAGAACGTTGCTTCACTGGCCCATGTTGGTATTATCATTGTGCTCTTCCCAGATGAGGCAGATCGGTCTCCGGCCTCTGGACGGCCGCTCACAGCAGCTCTTGGCAGCTCATTCCGGCAGTCAGCCGCTCATGCTGGCTGCCGGCCACCCACGGTATCTTATGGCAGCCCGCTGCAGCCTCTCTGCAGCCTACGCCGTCGCCGGCGACTCACCGCAGCCCAGCTCCAGGTGGAGCTGTTGTTCACCATCTTAGCTGTAGAGGGCACAGTGTCACTGGCCCTCATGTGGGATCTGAACTTGGGCTCTGCTGCTCAGAGCTGGTGTCCCAAGCCAACTCTTAACCAATGCACCACTCGGCCGGCCCTGTCAATATAATTTTAAAAAGAGGCATTCTATATACGAGAACAAATTCAAAATGGATTAAAGGCTTAAATGTAAGACCCAAAACCATAAAACTCCTAGAAGAAAATATAGGGAGTAAATTTGCAGACATTACCCTGAATATTTTTATTGATATATTCCCTTGGGAAAGGGAAGTAAAAGGAAAATATAAACATACGGGATTACATCAAACTAAAAAGTTTTTTCACAGCAAAGGAAACCATCAATAAAACAAAAATAAGATATTTGTCAATGATACATCTAATAAGGGGTTAATATCCAAAATTTATAAAACACTCATTCAACTCAACACCAAAAAAAAAAACCCCAACCCAATTAAAAAATGAGCTGAGGATATGAAGAGACATTTCTCTAAAGAGGACATACAGATGGCCAACAGACATGAAAAAATGCTCAACCTCACTAATCATTAGAGAAATGCAAATAAAAACCACAATGAGATACCACCACACTCCGGTCAGAATGGCCATCATCAACAAATCAACAAACAAGTGCTGGCGAGGTTGTGGAAAAAGGGAACCCTCGTGCACTGTTGGTGGGATTGCAGATTGGTGCAGCCACTATGGACATCAGTATGGAGGTATCTAAAAAAACTGGAAACGGAACTACCTTATGACCCAGCAATTCTACTTTTAGGTATCTATCCAGAGAAATCCAAAATGCAATTCGAAAAAATATATGCACCCCTATGTTTATTGCAGCACTATTTATAATAGCCAAGAGTTGGAAACAACTGAAATGCCCACCAGTAGACGACTGGATTAAGAAACTGTGGGGCGGCCAGATAGCTCAGTTGGTTAGAGCACGAGCTCTGAGAAACAGGATTGCCGGTTTGATTCCCACATGGGTCAGTAAGCTATGCCCTTTACAGCTAAGATTGTGAACAACGGCTTGACCTGGAGCTGGGATGATATGAGTGGCCAGCATCCAGCGTGAGCAGCCGGCCAGTAGCCGGCGACCAATTGCCTCAGCGGATAGAGCGCAATGATCATAATACCAATATGGGCCAGTGAGTGGCGCCCTCCACAACTAGACTGGGAACAACGGCTTGGCTAGGAAGTGGATGGGGGGGATGGAGAGGGGGGCAAAAAAAAAAGAAACTGTGTGGTACATTTATACAATGGAGTATTACTCGGCCATAAAGATGAATGAAATCTTACCATTTGCAACGATATAGATGGACCTAGAGAACATTATGCTAAGTGAAATAAGTCAGTCGGAGAAAGACAAATACCATATGATCTCACTTATATGTGGAATCTAAAGAACTGAATAAAAGAGCAAAGTAAACAGAAATAGTCCCAGAGATATAGAGGAAAAACAGGGTTGCTAGATGGGCGATTGGTGGGGATGAGGGAGAAGGGGAAGGGATTAGATAGCATAAATTGGTAACTACAATATTGCCACGGGGATGTGACAGACAGTTTGGGGAATATAATCAATAATATTGTAAAGATTTGGTAGGGTATCTGATGGTCACTTGTCTTATTAGGGAAACCACTTCACGGATGGTGTAGAGGCTTGACCACTGCACTGTACACCTGAAGCTGAAGATGAATGACACTGTATGTCAACTATAATTTAATATATATATATAGTCACAGGATGTGGAGTATAGTATAGGGAATAGAGTCAATGGAATTATAATAGATACATACGATGTCAGAGGGGCAATAGATTGGGGGAGGGGTTATCACTTTGTGAGGGGTGAAATATCTAACTATTACATTGTTTCGTACACCTGAAACTAATAATAATTAAAAAAAAAAAGAGTCATGCTACCAAGTCGACTTGTAATCTATTGTTGTTATACAGGAAGAAAAAGTCAGAGGAAATATTCATGGATCAAAGATCAAAGGGTCTTAGACAAACAAGAAATTAAACATGTTGCTTTTTCAAAGAGAGAAGAAACTTTTATTTACTTCCTATTGATACCTCAACTGAGGAAAATGTGGGTGCTGTTAGTCTATCAAAATACAGCATAATAGCTCTAAATGTCGAGACCCTCGCAAGTCTGACTTGATCACAGCATTCCCATTCAAAGTATAAGCACTGCTTGAATCCTAATGGGTCTGCCCCAGCTACCTCTCTCCATGGCCTGTGAAGCTGGTGAGGCCCCTTCAGGAGGGAGGACATGGGCAAAGAGCAATTCAAACTGGTGGTAAAAAGCAGACAGTGCTTTTTTTGAATTTGAAATAAAACGGGGTGTTTTTTAAAAATTGTCTTTTAGTAGTGAGGAGTACGAAGATGACAATCTCTTTGGTAGTAAATCCCTTTATCTGCCACATACTTCCTAGAATTTCTAATGCACACCAAGTGCCCCAAGCAACAAGGCATGTTTTTCCTGCACTAAAATAAAATACAGAATCTATGACTGAGATTATCACTTAAATAGCAATGACCTACCTTGGCTGGAGGATGCAGCAACAGACAGGCTGGGCCAGGCCAAGAACTTTCTTACTCCAACTTGAGGCAAAGGAGCAGAAGTATACCAACCCAGCAAACGCTGTGTTTACAAACAGTGTTGTCTTTGTAGCTACAATCTGTCTCAAAGATTGCATGTTTGAGATTCCTTTCGAATAGCTTTATTAGCCTACCCAGTTTCAGTTACACCACTTTAATCGTTTTCTTAAGGCATTTCCATACCATCTTACCAAGAGATACTTGAGGGCTTACAATTGAAGATAGTTCATTTCCTGTATACAGATAAACCTTCTCATATAAATCTATATTGTTTTCTTTAAAATATCTGAAATTCAAGGGGGAAAAAATGGAGGGCAATCTGGCCAAAGGAATTTGAAACAAAAAGGCTTCAGGAAGGGAAAAATCAGGCTAAATGCTTCGTGCTCAGTGGTTCTCCATCTTCTACAGGACATAAAACTCTAAGAATCTAATTAAGACCATATACTCTTGCAGAAAAATGAGTGCACACATAATTTTGCAGGAATTTTCAATATTTGACACAGGAAGAGTGTAGTGGCACTATGCTGCTAAAAATGGATAAAATATGCTTTCAATTTCTCAGGCTGCAGTTCTAGAGTTTAGATCACCTGGAACATTCACTTATCCATCCACCTCAGTGCAATTCTCTCTCAGTGACTTAAATACCGCTCATCTTTCTGAAATTACTCAATTATAATGAAACGTTTCAATAGAATGTGGAAACAAAAAGGTCAAACCAACAAGTTCTGAGCACCACCAGGTTTACTTTCTTTTGTGTTCTAAAAAGTTCCAAATAAGCAGCTCTTAATTACCCACTTTCCTCTCATAACAGTTTGGGGGGCGGGGAGGGTGAGGCGGGGAGAGACGTGTGGACAGAGAGGGAGAATGAAGGAATGAATATGAGAATGAACCACCTTCCCACACTCCCAGAGTTAGCCATTTCTTAGAACCCCAGCAGAGAATTCCTCAGTTTGCTTCAGACAGAACATGCTTCTACTGGTGAGAACAATGTTGACAAGGATGGCATGACCCAAGTAAAGTATGTTAACGCAAGTCTCAGCTGGCTGGAGCTGGCAGAACTCTTGACTATGCAGGACAACACATTTTAGTATCTGCAGCCTATTTTAGAAGATCACAGATAAACAGAAGGCTCCTGAGTTCTTTGAGGTCGGTGTTAGTTCTGAGACATGAGAGGGGATCTATCTACGGTCTACTTGCAGGGGAG